ATGGATCCTTTTATTGACGGACTTTTCAAGCGCTACATCCTCCAGCTCACACACCACAGTACAGACTGACAAGCGAACAAAGAAGAACAAAAAAAAACTGCAGCGTCACCGCCTTGTGCGAGTCGACGTGCTACCAACTTAACACTACTACTAATAATTACCAACTTCAACATTCTGGCCCACTGTGCCGCGTTGTGCGGGTTGGCATGCGATTATGTGTGGTCTAACCTCTAATGGTAATGGTAATGGCATACAGTGCACGCAACCCGCACAACACGGCAGCGCTGCACGACGATGTTGCCTACGCTGCATTACCATTACCATTAAGGGCCAGACCCGAGGGCCAGACCACACATGATCGTATGCCATTTCGGGCCCGCACAGGCGTTGGCAACACAGTAGCGCTGCAGCAGCAGAAGTCCTGACAGACAGACCGATTTCGAGAGTCGCCTTCGTCGCTCTGTCTCTCTCGCACTTACACGAGACGCCCCATGAGTGCGAGAGAGACAGAGCGACGACTGCAGCACTGAGGCCCGCATGGCCTTAGCCTCATGAGCGGCTCGGCCTGCTTCGTGAGGCTAATGATGATGGTCACGAGGATGGCCGGCAATCCGGACCCGAGTCCAGCAGACTGAGAGTCCTCCGCGTCGCTCTGTCTCTCTCGCGCCGGCACGGGACACCCCATGAGTGCGAGGGGGACAGAGCGAGACTCTCGGAATCGGTTTCAAGACTCGCCTCGTGGAAAAGACATTGTCACTTGTCACTGAATCGTGGTCGCTTTTACGAGACGCGGGACTTTTTCGTTGTGGTCATCAGCTTTCACAACCTAACCAACACTGCCAAGAGCGAGAAATGACAAATAAAATCTGAAAAGTTTTCACAACTCGTCGTATTTCCAATAAATAGCGGGGGTTTGCGTTCTCTGTGAGAGCAGGTGAACCACAGGAGGATGAAGACTGGAGCGCTAACGTCCTATGCTTCTCCACAGGCCAGCGCGCGACTGCTAAATTGCCCCCCATAAAACTGTACCTGCGCGATCCTCGAGTCTCGAGCAGTCTTCGGGTGTTTCCGACGTCATTCGGCGACACTTCGGGTGTGCTGGCGGGCTCCAGGTGGCACGAAGGCTGCCCCGCTACGCGCCCCCCACCCCCGGAGATGCACCGAGACCAGCCGAAGAGGACCCGAAGACTACTCGAGCTTTCGGACGCGCTGGCCACGTCCGAAAACGGCGGCGCGCCCGTAATGGCCTCTTTAGCGCTCCAGTCTTCATCCTCCTGTAGGTGAACCCTGGTGTTAAGTCAAAGAGATGTACGCAGTGCGGTTTTGAAATGCTCGCCACATCCGCAGAAAGGTGACGCTAAAAGAGCATTTCCTCGCCCGGGGCGCTCCGCCGCTCCGCCGTTAGTCGATGGCGCCTTGCCGCGCCTTGCCGCGCCTTGCCCTCGCCACCAAAGTCGCCGTGAGGAAGGTCGGGGAACGCGCCGAACGCGCCGCGAGACGGAACGGGGCGACTCGTTCCGCCGAGTCACTCGCAAACCGCGCCACGGTGGATTTGCCAGAAGACTCTCAGTAGAGCGCACAGTGGGCCAGAAGACCGGCGCAGGCGGCCGAAACTCTAGACGCGTGCCGAGCTCCAGAGTCGCTAAACAGGACTCGAACCGAACGTGTCACCTCACCAATGGATTCCTCGTTCGGAGAGCAATCCATAGGTGGCGATTGGTGGGGTCACACGTTCGGTTCGAGTCCCAGTTAGCGACTGTGGAGCTCAAAACGCATCCGGGATTCTGACCGCCTCCACCGGTCTTCTGCCCACATTGCCCGCGATCTTTTCATCGAGAAGGAAGCTGGGGACTGTTCCAGAAAGGTTAGGTTAGGTGAGGTGAGGCTAGGTTAGATGAGGTTAGGTTAGTCTAAATTCATGGGTCGAATTCGATTGGGCTAGGTCAACGAAGTTTATTTTTAATGCCAGTCCAGAGTGCGTCTTACATCAAAAACTAAAAAAAGAAAATCAAGACAAGAAAAACGAGAAAAGACGCACGCCACGGTAGTGGACTGCACCATAATTACAGCGTTTACAGAACGTGCCGTGTCGCATCGCGACGCATCGCTCGATCCATCATTATGAGTTTGACAGTTTAATAATGACCATCGCACGGAGGACGGAGAAAGTGCGGCCAGTATACAGTGTAGTACATTCAGGGAGCGATAGCCGCTGGGAGAAATATCTAGATATAGCTGGCCTGGCCTTGTCCAGTGCCACAGACGGGATAAAACGAAGTGGGGGCCCAGTCAAAAAAAACAAAACAAAAAAATAGAAGATGAGCTTAATAATGGAAAACTTATCTAACCTAGGAAGGAACAACTTTCCTCATTCATTGCGCAAAATTTGAGCACATTCCATATTCAGGAGGAGAAAAAAAAATGCCAGTGAGTAGGCAACACGTGTGGCAAATCACCAGAAATCTTGCACATTGTAGCACATTTCCATAATCACCGTACAGGAAATTTTACAGCGGGTCACCCCTCGTGTAAAACTTTATCAAACGAAAAATGTGCGTTTTCGGTCCACTAAGGGTGCTGCCGGCTCAAGGTCTCAATTTCAAAGTATCGGTTCCGAACACTTTATTTTGGACGTGCCGCGCCCATTACCCCGATAATCTTTCGCCCAAATTGGCGCGTTCTGAGCCGTTAACTCGGCGGCCTGTCCGTCTCTCTTTCTCTAATGGGCCTCTGTATTTCATCATTACGGGGAAAGGAATCATCTTCAAACGGAGAGAAACGTTTTTCTTTGCCTCCTTTTTATAACTACAAAGACGCCCACGCCGGACGCGCGGCGCTGCAAAGCGCCAGCCTTGTTTACGGCCGAGCATACCTAACCTAACCTAACCTCACTTTGTCGAGTAACAAACTCGCTTCGCTCCGCGCCCACGCGGCCAGACGCGCCGCCATGCCATGGCCATGCCGCCGCCTCGACGAGGCCCTCGAGTCCCAATTGGCGTTCATTGAAAAAGATGACGAACGCATGCAAGGGCCGCTTGGGCATTCCCCGGGTACTTTCGTAGTCGGTGAGTAACGTTGGCTCAGTGGGTCAGAAGACCCGGTGCAGGCGGCCAAAACTCTAGACGCGTTTTTGAGCTCCAGAGTCGCTAAATGGGACTTGAACCGAACGTGTGTGGCCCCGCCAATGGATTCCTCGTTCGAAGAGCAATCCATTGGTGGGGTCACACGATCGGTTCGAGTCCCATTTAGCGACTCCGGAGCTCAAAAGGCGTCTACAGTTTTGGCCGCCTCCGCCGGTTTACTGGCCCACTGTGCGATCCCAGGTCTCAGGGAGGGCGGAAGGCCACTTGTAGAGTAAATTATTGCCTAACTTTCAGCGTGGCTAAATTAAAAAATGCGCCTAATTACTAGATTTTAGTACATTCGAGTAAAACGCTTTTGACGGCGCAACGTGTCAGTGGCAACGCACTGTCGTCATGCAGGTCCTGCCACAATAAGCACCGTCAAAGAAACTATACAAGAAACAACAACAACACAAAAGGGGCAAAAACAGGGAGCCGAAGCCATGCCGACTACATAGCCGACGCCCTTCTTGTAGGGCCGGCGGGGCGCACCGGCTCCAATTGAGTCAAGCCGCGTGGACGCGTCCATCGCCCCTCGACAGCCGACTGATTCCGAGAGTCGTTTTCGTCGCTCTGTCTCTCTCGCACCTGTACGGGACGCCTCATGAGAGCGAGAGAGACGGAGCGACGAAAACGACTCTCGGAATCAGTCTGCGGGCCGACAGGCGTCCCGACGGTCCCGACGCTGAGCGGCTGCATTGACTGGCAGGCGTCGCGACGACTCCTCTCCCCCTCCCCCTCTCCTCCCCCTCTCCTCCCCCTCCCCTTCACCAAACGCCCCCTTCAGTCCTGCGGATCCCCGTAAGAAATGTGCACGAGCTTCTACGTGCCGCGCGCACCGCGGGGCTTCCTGGGCGATGCATCACGGGGACAGCAGACTGATTCCGAGAGTCGTTTTCGTCGCTCATTCTCTCTCGCACCTATACGGGGCGCCCCGTGAGTGCGAGAAAGAGCGAGCGACGAGAACGACTCTCGGAATCGGTCCGCAGGGACAGGGCCGGGGGAGGCCAAGGGGTAGGACAGTGCTCCGTCGCTCTGTCTTTCTCTCTCGCACCGCTACGGGATGAGCCGCGAGTGCGAGAGAGACGCGGCGACACTGCTCTGCCTGCTGGCTGGGCAGGAGAGGCGCCTCATGGGAAACTTCTTGACACGACCCTAAGGGCCTCCCCCCCCCTCTTCGTCACCCCTGGCCTCTCCGTCGCGACAGGGGGACCGGCTAAAAATGGACATCCGGCGCCGCGGCGCGGAGGAGCCGGTGCAAAGGGGCAGGGCAGGGCACGGCATTCACGGTCCCCACACGCGTGGCGCCAGTGTAGGAACGTGCCACGACGGTATTCGCAGACAGACCCACCTGGGCATACACCGGTAGAAACTGCCAGTAGCGGATCCAGAGGTGGTCTCTGGGAGAGGGCACTTTCTGCCTACACTGTTATGGGGGGAGGCAAAGGTTTTTTTGCGGATTTCTCACGCTTCCAAAGCACCTGGAAGCCACTTGAAAGCGGGCAAAGAGTGCCACGGTGCAACTGTGCCCCTCCCTCGGGGCAATTCTGGATCAGCCCTTGAATTGACCCTCATCGCGGCGCACAGTGGGCCACAAGGCCGGTGAGGGCGGACAAAACTCCAGACGTGTTTTGAGCTGGGCACCAATGGTAAGGACCATTGGTGCGGTCTTGGGACTTGAACCAAACGTGTGACACCGCCAATGGATTCCTCGTTCGCAGAGCAATCCATTAGTGGGGTCACACGATCGGTTCGAGTCCCATTTAGCGACTCTGGAGCTCAAAAAGCGCCTCGAGTTTTGTCCGCCTCCACCGGTCTTCTGGCCCACTGTGCGGCGTGACCGCGGTACTTGGTTAAAACTTGTGTTTCCGCTTGCAGTTCTGGGAGATGATCTCGGAGGAGCACGGCATCGACCCCAGCGGCGAGTACCACGGCTCGTCGGACCTCCAGCTGGAGCGGATCTCCGTGTACTACAACGAGGCCTCCAGTGAGTAGCGCCCGGCGACGCCGCCTGCTTCTCAGCACTCTGATTTCGAGAGTCGTTTTCGTCGCTCAGTCTCACTCGCACCCCTGAGCGGCCCGTCAGGGTGCGAGAGAGACAAGCAGTGCTGGGAGCCAACCCACTGGCTGCTCTAATCGCTCGTAAAACACGTTTTAACTTTGACGGCGGTCTTCCCCGGCGGGGCCGCGCTTAGGGCCGCGGCAATGGTCCTCAAGGGACGGCCGCTCGCTCCGTCTCTCTCGCGCCCCTACGCGGCCACGCGACGCCCCGTGCGCGCGAGAGAGACGGAGCGACAAGCTGCAGGCCTTTACGGCTCACTTGGAGGCGTAAACGAAACCGGGCTCCAATCTGTGACAAACCGGGTGCGCCTCTCTCGCACTCGCGGGGCGTCGCGCACGGGTGCGAGAGAGACGGAGCGATCGACTACAGGGTGTTCCTTGTCGAGGCTGGCACACGAGAACAACGGGCTCCCCAATCTGTTGGACCAGACCAAAAAGGAAGGGAAACGGGAAAGGGAGAGATACAGCCGGCAGCTGTTCATGCTCCATCACGGTGCCGTCCGCGGGGTCGGTCCGTGTCCGGCAGGCTGATTCCGAGAGTCGTCCTCGTCGCTCTGTCTCTCTTGCACTCACAAGAACGCCGCAGGCGTGCGAGAGAGACAGAGCGACGGGAATGACTCTCGGGGTCGCTGCAGCGCGTTGGCGCCTTGTCCCTTGTTCTGGTCGCCCAGAGAACGTCTTAGTCTGGTCTAGGTTCGAGTCCTGCATTTCGAGAGTAGCGTGGGGACTGCGCTTCATGAAAGACACAAAGTTGCCCGTGCAACTGCACTCTCGCAGAGCTCAACTAAGGCGAAAGAGCGGTGAGCGCCTGAAGGTAGGCACTCGGACGGCGAGCGGGCACGATAGGTTGCCTATCTCCGGGCGCTTACCATTACCACTACGGGCTAGACCAAAACTGATCGTATGCCATTTCGGGCCCGACACAAGCTCGCCTACATTGTGCCGCCCGTCACCGCTGCACCCTACGCGGCCGCAGGCGGCCAAAACTCTAGACGCGTTTTGACGCGTTTTGAGCTCCAGAGTCGCCAAGCAGGACTCGAACCGAACGCGTACCCCGCCATTGGGTTGCTCTCCGGACGAGGAATCCATTGGTGGGGTCATACGTATGTGACGCGTCTAGAGTTTTGGACGCCTGCGCCGGTCTTCTGGCCCACTGTGCGCTCTACTGAGAGGTTTGGTTCGTTGCCCCACAGGCCCGTCCAAGAGCAGCCCCGGCCGCTACGTGCCGCGCGCCGTCCTGGTGGACCTGGAGCCCGGCACCATGGACTCGGTGCGCTGCGGCCGCGTCGGCGGGCTGTTCCGACCCGACAACTTCGTCTTCGGCCAGAGCGGCGCCGGCAACAACTGGGCCAAGGGCCACTACACGGAGGGCGCCGAGCTGGTGGACGCCGTCCTGGACGTGGTGCGACGCGAGGCCGAGAACTGCGACGTCCTCCAGGGCTTCCAGCTGACGCACTCCCTCGGCGGCGGCACTGGCTCCGGCATGGGCACGCTGCTCATGTCCAAGATCCGGGAGGAGTACCCGGAGCGCATCATGACGACGTACTCCGTGATGCCCTCGCCGAAGGTCTCGGACACGGTGGTGGAGCCGTACAACGCGACGCTGTCCGTGCACCAGCTGGTGGAGAACACGGACTCGACGTTCTGCATCGACAACGAGGCGCTGTACGACATCTGCTTCCGCACGCTGCGGCTGCCCACGCCGTCCTACGTGGACCTCAACCACCTCGTGTCGCTCACCATGTCGGGCGTCACCACCTGCCTGCGCTTCCCCGGCCAGCTCAACGCCGACCTGCGCAAGCTGGCCGTCAACATGGTGCCCTTCCCGCGACTCCACTTCTTCATGCCCGGCTTCGCGCCGCTCGTCTCGCGCGGCGGCCAGCAGTACAAGGCCCTCACCGTGCCCGAGCTCACGCAGCAGATGTTCGACGCCAAGAACATGATGGTGGCATGCGACCCGCGCTACGGCCGCTACCTCACCGTGGCGGCTATCTTCAGGTAACGTCCCTCAGTGGGCCGGAGGGAAGACCGGTGGAGGCGGTCGAAATTCCGGCGCGTTTTGAGCTCCAGAGTCGCGAAATGGAACTCTGTGACCCCATCAATGGATGCTCTCCGAACGAGGAATCCATCGGTGGAGTCGCACGTTCGGTAGCAACCCCGTTGGCACTGGTGCATCCAGGCAATATTTCACAACTGAAATGACGCACGCGTGGAACTAACGCACACCCACACCTCTTCTGCTTACAGGGGACGCATGTCCATGAAGGAGGTGGACGAACAGATGCTGAACGTGCAGAACAAAAACAGCAGCTACTTCGTGGAGTGGATCCCCAACAACGTCAAGACCGCTGTGTGCGACATCCCGCCCACCGGACTCAAGATGTCCGCCACGTTCATCGGTAAGTTAGGCTAGGTTAGGTTAGGTTCGTCGGTATGCTAGGCTAGGTTAGGTTAGGCTGGCCCCGTCCACATCGTCCGGGTTATTATTGGGCGCAGCGTACCCACTGTCGTGGAGCCTGCAGGATGCCCCGACCCGATTGCGTCTCCAGCATTCCGTGTTCCGTGTTCCAGGCAACACCACCGCCATCCAGGAGCTGTTCAAGAGGATCGCCGAGCAGTTCGGCGCCATGTTCCGGCGGAGAGCCTTCCTGCACTGGTACACGGGCGAGGGCATGGACAAGCTTGAGTTCACCGAGGCCGAGTCCAACCTGACGGACCTCATCTCCGAGTACCAGCAGTACCAGGAGGCCTCGGCGGACGAGGAGGCGGACTTCGACGAGCACGAGGAGACGGAGGTGGCGGCAGAGTGAAGGGGAGGGGCTTTCGGAAACCGAATGAGTGAACTAAGGGAGGCCAGGGAACAGGGAGGCTAGACCAGACCCAAATGGGTGGTTAAATCAGCGTCAAGTTCACCCAGTTTTTTTATTTAAACAAAAAATAAAATCCCTTGAATTTCTTGATTTGACATAGAATTAACCACTCATTTCGGTCTGGGTTCGTGCGGGAGGAGGGGTGGCTCACCTGTTCTGCCTTTGTGATCAGACAGGCGGGTGCATCAGCGTCTCATGACATGTGACTGCAAATCCCACGGAGAGCCAATGAAGGCATTCCAGAGGCTAAAGACAGAAATTGCATTTCAGCTAAAGAGGAAATTGGTCTCAGCGACGCGACTGCGCCCTTTTTCGTTCTCTTTTCACTTTTTACGAATATAAGGAAGAAACTGTGGGAGCAGTAGCACTGACCGTGATAAAAAGTGAATGAATGTTTTGCGACCAATATTTAACAAACTTGTGGTTGCTCCGACTGAAAGTGACTGCATGTGTATGTTAAATTAATTTTGCCAATTTATTTATAAATCTAGGCTATAAGATGTGTTCATAAATACATTTTTTTATGAGTGTCAACAAACAGAGAAAGCCAAAATTTCCTAGAATCTCAAATACTGTGGAGTGAATATTATTCTGATAATAATGTTTGTAAATGAAAGAACTGAGATAATGGACTATTTCTTAAGTGTTTCTAAAAACAAAAAATAAAAAACTAATTACAAAAAAAAGAATTAATTTATTCCAAAACAAATCCACAAGACATGCATGTTAAGGCACATATATTCTAATATCACAAGTATTTGTAGATGCTGTCAGGACAGAGTGCATGGACTCAATGTAGAAAAGAATACCGTAACAACAAATGTGTTTGGGAAAAAAATGACTTAAAGGTTGACAATGACTTGGTAATAATATGAAATATTACGCTGCTTGGAGAACAGGCATGGTGATAGAGAGAATCTGGAATGCAAACAGGAAATTAAAAGTGTGATTCTTCTGCTGTCTCCAGAAATGTTTCAAAAACTATAAATCCACTCACGCACCTTGGACACCCCATCAAATTGAGCTGTGGCACACTTCTGAAGGACACAATGTGGTAAAAATACGTCCAGGTGGTACTTGGTGGCACGTGTTTCCCCATTCAAAACCAGGCGATCTTCACCAATATCAAGAGTTATGTCTCCAGCAGACACCTGAAACAAAATAATTAATTTTTAAGAATTGAAGCAGAGCAAAAACGAAGAATTTTAGCCTGCTGTAAATCACTAAAGTGGATGTTCTGTAAATGCAGCTGCAGCAGGGAGAGCCACAGCAGGCAAGGGGTATCGACGCCGACGGTGCTGCCCCCTGAGAAGTGCGGCGGAACTAATCAGAGCTGCAGTTTAATTATTAAATTATTTCTTTTTCAAATTCAAGGCGCGTCTGGCACTGGCAAATGATCCGAGAAGCAGAAGAAAACATTCTAGTAGGTGTCCACGGGGTGTAACGCGTAATGTATGCTGAGGATGCGACGCGAGGTGAGTGACAGGGTTTTCGCTCGCGGTGACGACCCCGCGTCCGAGCATGACTAGGGTCGAGCCACAACACCTCCGCAGCATAGTCTAGGTCGAGGAAAACCTCTTCATTTTATCGTGAAGGTCACTCTTTGAGTGACCAAATATTCTGAACACAGCCCCTGACAAGCCAATACCCAATGAGGAGTAATAACTTAATCGCTAATGGGGGAACGACTCTGATACTATGCACGGCACTCACCAACAACGGGAGATGAACCTGGGCGACTACACTGGAAGCAACTCCACCAGTCACCTGCTTCAGGAGCCGGAACTGCGGCTTCACCGCGTCGCTGGCCGCCGCGAGGTCTAAAATCGAAGCACACTCACAGTTAACCACCGTTCCCAAAATGAAATCTCGGAACACAGCTTGCCGTGCCGTGAAGGCTTTGGTCATTTAAAAAATGAAAATGAATAGGCAAAGTGATCTTTGGCTGAATGCTGCTTACCCCTCCTCGCTGCGTCGCCGCCGACGGCGGGCTCCAGGTACCGAGTCCCCAGCTCCTGCACCAGAGGCGTGGCGGGCTTGGAGCCGTCCTTCTTGTCCTTGACGCGCACCCTGTGCCCGGGGATGGTGCCCATGGCTCGTCGGTTCTTCATCACCACATAGTCTGGAATCGAATATGGACACGCACTTCACCACACTCTCAAGATCCTACTGAGCCTTTTCTTCGCGTAACACAAACAAAACGCTGAGTATTTTGACAGCACAGCGTTTAGCTATGGTTAAAAGGTCCTCAGTAACTTATGACCCATTTCTTCATATTACGAACAAATTCCTTTGTAATAAGATATATTTGTGTCGCAGAGTTACTGAGAATTAGCTTAGCATTATGATTACACCGCATTTCTCAGCAGGAAATTGGAAAAGCACACGCTTTCATGGATAGAACGGTACCACTGAAAAGCGAATACTACCTTCCTTGTCCAGCTCGATGTGGAACTTGTCCTCGATGCCCTGCATGATGACGTCGATGAGGAACATGCGGAAGATGTTGTTGGTCTCGATCTTGCCGAAGAAGGTGGTGTTGATGGCCACATCGTACACGTCCGCCGGCTTCCCCGCTGTAAGCGCCACACCAACAAAACTCATGAAATGCACACAAACACACGGTGCAAAATAAATCTCCGGAATTTTAAAGATTTTTCGCATGTTAGGAAGATTTTTGGTCATTTACAAACATTCTTCTTTAATGTACGAACATTCATCGTAAATTGGCGAAGATTCTTCGTGCATTCAACATCGCGAATTTGCAATAGAAACTTTAGCAACATTTTTGCGACAGGAATCTTCGTTTATTCCCAAATTATTTCTCAAAGTGCAACAAGACTTTGAGGCAGGCGAGGAGGCTCACACTTGTCCGGCTCGGCTCGGCGCTCCCCGATGCTGAGCGGCACGCGGTAGTCGCAGGTGCCCGTCGTCGTGTTCCACAGCTCCACGAGGCGCTCGTCGCTGATGTCCTCGGGGGCGGGGATGTCCTGGGTGTGGCACAGGTTGATGAACACCTTGCCGTGGTCCTCGGAGGCGAGCCGCAGCTTGAGGCACAGACCTGGCGACAAGCGCAACGCATTTCGTCAATGGTTTTCGCCCAACGGGAGTCGGCCGTGAAGGCCGTCGCCAGGGACTTGGACTTCCCTCTGGCTCTCCGCCCGGAAGGTAGGCAGCCCATTCGACGCCCCGCCGCGCGGCAGGCAGCCCAACTGGCAGCCTTGACTTGCGCACAGTGGGCCAGAAGACCGGTGGCGGCGGCCAGTCTAGACGCGATTGTTGAGCTCCAGAGTCGCAAAATGGGACTCGAACTGAACGTGTGACCCTCCCATGGATTCCTCGTTCGGAGGGGGGTCACACGTTCAGTTCGTCGAGTCCCATTTAGCGACTCTGGAGCTCAAAACGCGTCTAGAATTTTGACCGCCTCCACCGGTCTTTAGGCCCACTGAGCGGTGGCGGACCCAGCGCCACCCATGAATTAATTTATTCATATTTTTAGGGTGGTAGAGGAGATGCGGGGGGAATTGCCTATTTCCAGGAGCAAACTTTGCCGGCCTTCCAGGTGGCTATCTAGGTGTCAAGGGAGCAATTGTCCTCGTCCTCCTCCTTCCCACCCCTCCTGGACCCGCGCCTGCAGACTGATTCCGAGAGTCGTTTTCGTCGCTCTGTCCCTCCCGCACCTATACACGACGCCTCATGAGCGCGAGAGAGACAGAGCGACGAAAGCGACTCTCGGAATCAGTCTGCCGCTGACAGCCCGACAGGTAGCAGAGCAGTCGGCGGCCAACGGCCTCAGACAGGAGGGCCCTGCCGGCCCTGCCAGTAGGGCTCCCGGACTGGCCACACTCGAGAAGATTAGTAGACGGAAACAAACTTGCGGTCTCACTGCTTACCGCCCTCCTCCCTCCATGCGACAGTTGCACCTCATGACGAAACAGAGACCTGTACTAAATAGAAGGTAAATAGAAAAGTGGAAAAAGAGAGGGGGGGCACACACGTGGGTGCGTGGGCACCGTCCGGTCAGAACGGCGCCGGTCACAAGGGGACGCCACACAAGAACGTCCGGTGACCAGGGGCCGCCATAGGCCGCCATGGGCCGCCAGAGGCACGCGAGATACGTTGTTTTGTCCGCTGACAAGCGAAATCTGATAAATTGGAGGCGTTCCTCTGGCTGTCCGGGGGCAGCGGGCCGTGACTATGAGTGACTATGACAAAACGCTCTTTCCTTTTTCCTTTTTTTTTGGGGGGGGGGAGGGGAGGGGGAGAGCCTAGCCTGCCGCCTGGGAGGTAGTCAAAATCACACACATACAACATTGTAGCACATTGTATGCCGATAATAAGTGACCAGAGGGCCATATACCGCGCGTCACCGTAGGTTGCTCGACTGGCTCAGCAGCGTTGGACGACGTCACCGTCACATTAGCGGTGCGCGATTGGCCGCCAGAGAGAGAGAAGGGGGTTCGAGGGAGCCAAAGCCAAAAGCCCAAAGCGAAAAACGAAACAAAATAACAAATATGGGAGCCGGTAATATCCCCACCCTCTTTCCCCAAAAGTGAAAACAAGGAAAAAGAAACGGGAAATGTGATAAGACGCGGTGCAGCCAGTTTGATGCGACGCTGCACTGCGCTGCACTTGCGGAGGCCGATAAGTATAGAACACGGTTACCAGGGCAACCAACCTCCCGTCCATCCCACAGATCCCACTCCGGTTAGACAGGTCAGGTTAGGTCAGGACAGGTCAAGTCAGCTGGCAGGCAGGCAGGATATTACGGGAGAAAAGAGTCGTACCAACGAAGATTTGATGTCCGTCATAGAGAAACCGAGATTTTAAAAGTGTTATGTCAATTTAGAGGGAACACTTCGTTCTGAGAATGAACAGCGACGTCGAAAGGACTAAATTTTAGTCCATCTAACGGATTATTTGTTGTCAGAGCAAAGCAAAGTGGCCGTTCTTACAACAAATTAATGGTACTCGCTGAAATTTTCTTTTCGATCATCCCAAAATTAATATAAATATTTGTAGGCACAACTGATTCCTTTTTTCCTGATGTTCGCAGGGCGATAAATGCACGCATCGTCTGCCAGTGCCGTGCCCGGCCGAGCCGTCCTCGTCCAGGCGCTAAGAGGGAGTCAGACGGGTCGTCGTCCACGCACAGCGCCGCGTCGCGTCGCAGCAGACAGAGTCGTTTTCGTCGCTCTGTCTCTCTCGCACCCATGAGGGACGCCCCATAAGTGCGAGAGAGACAGAGCGACGAAAACGACTCTGGGAATCAGTCCGCAGACCCGACCCCCCAATTCGATTTATCGATCTTCAAAGGATCCCGCGGCGATAAAAGTCGAGGAACTTGAGATGGCACGCGACATGTGACGCAATCGTGGCGCGTGCCACTCAAAACTTGAGACGTTAAATTTGGGCAGGTCTTGGCCTGACGTTGCAGTGCTAGAGGGAACGCGCGCTTTTGCACGTGCGCGAACTCGGGCGTGTACATACGTGTACATAGGCCCCTTCAAACGAGTGCACTGGCACAACTATGGCGCAACGTAGCGCCTCCCTTGAAGACTAGAACGATATTTACGCTCACCTTGAAGCGTTCTGAGAAAAGTCCCCCGTTGAATTCAGACAGGACGGATACTGGATGCCCCAGTACGCTTCGTGACACTTCAAGGCAAACGTTAAAACTTGACTTGCGCGCTCGCACAAAAGCGCCACGTTACGCCCAAAGTTTTAGCAATGTCTGTTTTTTGAGTGCGAGTGTACATAGTGTGTACAGTGGCGTTATCACATCGCCATGTGTCGGTCCTGTCCTTGTGTGAAGCCGGCTGCATAGGCTGTGTGTGCGTGGCAACGAGAGCTAAGCCTCGGCAATTCAAGGAGCAAGGGCTCATGACGATGCACCTGCCCGATGAAAGAGAGCATTTTTTAAGGGGCTTTTCGTCCATTTTGCAGTGGCTCGCTAACGATGCCGCCGATGCCGCATAACGGCATTCCAATGCCGTAAAACGCGTTTTATTTCCGTTCCTGTTTTGTGCCTGAACGATATTGTTTTCCTTTTTTTTTTTCGTTTTTTCTTCTCGTGGGTGTTGCTGCTGCGGTCCAATACGACTCACCTTGGCTTCACCTTGGCAATAGCAAAATGTCGAAGAGCATCACCATCAGGTAGGCATCAGGCTCGCCGGCCGGCAAACGCGTTTCGCCAGGAACCCGCACAGCTATTCTGCCGCACGGCTTTCCGAGAAATGAGTTTCGGCAGGCAGACTCAGTTTACGGCCCGAGCGAAACCCAATTGGTAAAGAGCAACAAAGTGTCTGTGTAAGCATATGGTCCGCACCTGACCCACATCAGCAACACCACCCCTGACAAACTGAGGGCCAGGTCAACTCGGGGGTAACTCGGGGGTAACTCAGGGGTAACTCGGGGGTAACTCGGAGGTAACTCAAGGGGAAGTCGGGGGGAAGTCGGGGGGAACTCGGGGGGAAGTCGGGGGGAACTCAGGGGCAAGTCGGGGGGAACTCAGGGGTAACTCGGGGGCAAGTCGGGGGGAACTTGATCGACTCGCCCGAACACTAGAAATACGCTCCAAACTAGCACCGTTGCCTTTGTCTCGTTGCCCCGATTCTAAAAGTGCCCCTACTTGCCCCTCTAGCTCAGCGGTTCCCAACCTTGGGGTCGCGAAAAAATTTTGAGGGGTCGCGGCGAGGTGGCTGGGGTCGCCTGGGGTCGCGGTGGTTTCCCGGCTGGCCCACACGCCGAGCACTGGCTGCTTAAATGCCGCAAAGTTGATCAAAACGGTCACAAATGTGTGTAAAAGATCGTGTTTTGGGTCGACTTTAAGCATCCACTGCTTCTGATCCGAGGCGGTAAATCGCCCTCCCTCAACGGGCAATTGGTCTTTGGACCTTCCTTTTGCATGCCTTTGTTACGGAGTGCGATTATCTGCCTTAGTTTGGGAGCAGTTTTGCCGCAAAGTTGATCAAAACGGTCACAAATGTCTGAAAAATCGTGTTTTGGGCCGACTTTAAGCATCCACTGCGTCTGATCCGAGGCGGTAAATCGTCCTCCGTCAACGGGCAATTGGTCTTTAGACCTTTCTTTAGCATGCCTTTGTTACGGAGTGCGATTATTTGCCTTAGTTTGGGAGCAGTTTTGCCACAAAGTTGATCAAAACACGATTTTTCAGACATTTGTGACCGTTTTGATCAACTTTGCGGCAAAACTGCTCCCAAACTAAGGCAGATAATCGCACTCCGTAACAAAGGCATGCTAAAGAAAGGTCTAAAGACCAATTGCCCGTTGACGGAGGACGATTCACCGCCTCGGATCAGACGCAGTGGATGCTTGAAGTCGGCCCAAAACACGATTTTTCACAGACATTTGTGATTGTTTAGACCAACTTTGCGGCAGTACTGCTTCCAAACTGAGGCAGATAATTGCACTCCGTAACAAAGGCATGCAAAAGGAAGGTCCAAAGACCAATTGCCCGTTGAGGGAGGGCGATTTACCGCCTCGGATCAGAAGCAGTGGATGCTTAAAGTCGACCCAAAACACGATCTTTTACACACATTTGTGACCGTTTTGATCAACTTTGCGGCATTTAAGCAGCCAGTGCTCGGCGTGTGGGCCAGCCGGGAAACCACCGCGACCCCAGGCGACCCCAGCCACCTCGCCGCGACCCCTCAAAATTTTTTCGCGACCCCATTTGGGGTCGCGACCCCAAGGTTGGGAACCGCTGAGCTAGAGGGGCAAGTAGGGGCACTTTTAGAATCGGGGCAACGAGACAAAGGCAACGGTGCTAGTTTGGAGCGTATTTCTAGTGTTTGGGTGAGTCGATCAAGTTCCCCCCGACTTGCCCCCGAGTTACCCCTGAGTTCCCCCCGACTTGCCCCCGAGTTCCCCCCGAGTTCCCCCCGACTTGCCCCTGAGTTCCCCCCGACTTCCCCCCGAGTTCCCCCCGACTTCCCCCCGAGTTCCCCCCGACTTCCCCCCGACTTCCCCTTGAGTTACCCCCGAGTTACCCCCGAGTTACCCCTGAGTTACCCCCGAGTTACCCCCGAGTTGACCTGG